GTTGGCACACGGGGTCTGTGAAAGGGGCAGGTGAATGTTGACGTCCAGAAACAAGGCTAGGTTAGTATTAGTTAGGGAATAAGGTGAAAAGGCTGAGGACATGCAGGGCAAGGCTTGAAAACAGAGACGAGCAGCAGCAGGTGTGCAGGGGAGTAGCAAGCAGCAGTGGCAAGAAGACAGACAAAGGGAAGGTGGGGCAGGGTGCAACAGTAAAACTGGACAGCGTGGTGAGTATATGGAAGTAAGAAAACTGAAATAAAAGCGCAGGAAGCGCAGAGAATCATGACATGCAGAGTGGGTCCTTCGTCAGTACTGTGCACGATCCACCTATCAGTTCTAATTACACATGAAAAAGGCCTGTGAGCTGTGGTAAGTTTTCATTTTGTCCTAGGCATAATTTGGCATTTTAAGTGGTATAAGCAGTAGCAAGATGGATTTGCTTACACTTGAACTAAAATCCAAATGAGGTTTGATGGAAAACCTCACAAATCACTGAAAGCAGTGGTAGAATTTCAGTAGGACAGTTGGAGAATAACAATCAACAAATGCCATTCCAGCTAATAAGATTCTAAGAGGCATTCATCAAAAAGTGATGGGGAGCATTTTAAGCTGCGAGACAGATGTGGGAAATTGGTTTCACACATCTGTGGTTGATTAATGCCTAAAGAATTGCTTTTCAAATTATGATAGAAGTATAATGGAACTCTTTGTATCATATCAAACCACATCTGACTTGCTTACACCATCACAACCTTGATATCACTTGATTTATTGCCTTACCATATGTTATCTCCAACCCGAATTAAGGCAATAATAGCAAGAAGCAAAATCTATTTTCATTAGCACTGATTTGATCTTTCTGCTCTACATATTTGTGCAGGTCAGCCCACACACTTCAGCCAATATCCAAAGAAGAACTTTCGAGTACTGTGTCAGTCCAGCTCTTCAATGGAGAGACCCAGCAGGTGACCATCACCTTGGAGAACATTGGATCTGAGGACATAGAGACTCTGGAACTCACCTCAAAGACTGTCAGCACCAAAGGTTAGCACCACTATCAAGATCACTAAAGCCATAGGTCTCAGTTCTAGTTTTTATTTTATTTATTTTTGTGAATAGTCTCATCCCAGATGTTAAAGAAAGAGGAAGTTGTTTCAGTACAGTACAGAAGAAAGAACTAACAATATGTTGATTAACAGCCTACCCTTAACAAACAACAATGTGTTGAAATGATCTCTGGGCAGTGTGTTTTAGTTGGGACAGCTTTTGATGTCACCCACAGAAATTATGCTTCAGCCTCTTGCAGTCCCTGTATCTGCAATGCCACAGAGGTCACTACCCTGTTGTCTTTGGTTCTACAGCTTTCATGCGGCCATGGCTTTTCACTCTGTGTTCCATCTCTTTGTACAACACCTGCTCAGGTCCTCAGATCTCTGCAATCTGCCTCTGTGTCGCTGCCTCGTGCTTCTTGTCTCTCTTTGTGTGAAAATGGAAGCTTCATTTATGGATACAGTACACACAATATTAAGGTGTTTTTTCCTGTTGATGGCACAAGTATCACAATTACAGCAGATACTAATTTCCTTGCAGGTAGATGACATCAGCATTTGTGGATCCACAAGTATAAACTGTTGCTGCTGTAGCTTTTTCTGTGGGAGAGGTTAGAGTACTGTAAAAGAGAAAGTCTGAAACTGCTGATGCTGCAGCCCTGTAATGAATGACGATAGCTGGGTGTCCAGCATAATATGTATCTTGGTCACAATTCTTCAAAAATGCCCAGTTAGTGACGGTCTACCTCTCAGAGCCCCACTGCCTCTCACATACCCTGCTCCCTGCTGGCCAGACTCCAAGGTGCAGTGCATTGTAGTGTCTCTAGTTAACAAGAGTTCTCTTTGAAATGGAACTGTTCTTGCGGTTGCTGGAAATGATTTGGGCTGCAAATATACATTAGCTCACTGTACCTTCAAACTTTAATGAACAAGCAAATAGAACTGACTAGAAAAGCACCATTCGTAGACACAGTTCTCAAGACAGTGTGCCAAAGGTTGGGTAAGCATTACTATGGAACCTCAGAAGTTATGCTAAATGATGTTTTGACCTACTGGGCCTGGCAGTAGGTATCGGCCATGCCCTCATAAATCTTTTGGCCCACGTGAGAGGTGACATTTCCTGTCTGTAGTCGACGGTAGCTTTAAACTGACCTAGAGTAACATACTTTAAAGCTGCTTTGAACTCCTACCCTCACTCAAGTGTAAATACTCGGTGGTGTAACCCAGCCTTATGTCTACATCATATCTGTTTAGACTAAGCACCACGGATGGCCCCACTGGCTTGATAGGCAATTTGTTCTGAATGCCATGGTCTGCTCACTAGTCTATTATCCTGACTTATCTAGCTACCAGTACTACAAGTAGTTAGCAGTTATCAGATAAAGATCATCTTCTGACTTAATGGACCATTCAAACCTTCTGGAATCCTATCCTCACCCAGCAGATAATTGGCAGCGTGGCCCGGCCTTGTATCTACTTGGGTAGGCTACAGTGCCTGGGCCAAATGGGATATTAGGCAATTTCATCAGAGATCTAGGCCTGCACTGTTCTCTAACCACCAGTACAAGTCTATTAATATCACCAATAGCCGCTAGTGGGAGTGTCAGATTAACGTTTGTAATGTTGGAGATCATTGCAGTGCGATTGTTTGCATTATATCGCCACAGTGCCAACATCAAAACAGAAGATTTCCCCAGCATGTAGCAAATAGTTTTTAAATAAAAATGGTTAGTTCCCCTCTTCCCTGCCCAGTCACACCAGCATATTCACCACACACAAATCAAATGTCTGCAGATTCTCAGTCATCCAGGTCATAGTAAGCTGAAAAAAATCAACTGGACTAAGTTTCTAGGTCGAAACTTTCATTTTTTCAGCACACAAATCAAATATTGTTCATAAAGAATAATAGTTAATGCCATTTTCCCACCTCCCTTGTCTGTACAGTCAAAAGCAGTCTTCTCACATGTGCATTAGAGACAGCTTTCCAGAATAGGCTGTGGTCATTTTGTTTTTCTTAATCACAATGCCCTCAATTTAATATATTGGATACACATCAGGCTAGTCATATTTTTGAAGGCAGAAACTTACTCATAACAGGTCACACACCTGTGAATTTTTTAAGTCATTCATTCGTTACAGAGAGAGGTAATAATATTACAAATGACATGCGTTTCATATTGTGAAGAAATGCTCTTATCCACTTAACCTAATGAGTAACAAACAAGGGTGAGCTGTGCTGCTCCAGTCTATTTCTACAGATTCCTCTGGTAACTTTTTCATGGTCACTTGAGGCTTCAACACATTTTTTTTTTTTTTTTTTAACTTCAAATAGCTGGAAAGCTTAGATGCTTCGAGGCTTCACCTTCATCTTTCCACCACTAATACTAACCTAGCCAACACACTGCCTGAGCCACCTATTAAACCAAACCATGAACAGCATGTTTAAGCTAAGCATGCTAAGCTAGCTGGCATCTGCACATATATTTAAGCTTTATCCTCTCATTTTCCTCTGCTGCATACTTTGGTGGGCCTGTCAGCTACACAAAATACACAACACGCTGTTCCTCTGACCACAATACAACATCTGCTGTTAGGTTAGTGGTAGCTACTCTACTAAGAGTTGTTTTCCTGCTCTTATTTGCCGGTCTCTCCCTGCCTTCAGCTGCCCTGCATCATGCCTGTGTAAAGTTTACAGCTTGCTTCTTGACCTGTTCGCCCTCACAAACAAACTAAATCTCATTTGTTTCCTTTTTTGCATCTGGTGAATTCACCTCTAAGCACATACTCTCAGTGGCTGTCAGCACTTGGTTGTGTCTCCAGGTGTATCACTCTTGACTTGTTTTACACCCTGATAGAATGATAGAATATGCCGAAATGAAGCTATACCTGAATATGAAGGGCATGTTGGTCCTTTTACTAAGAATTAGCTCATAGCATCAATCCAGTCCTACCTGCTTTTATGGTTTCACTCAATTTTGACAAATCACTGTAAACTGAAAGGAGAGAACTCTAATCCTTTACTTGGTATATAGAGCACTGAAAATATTCAGTGCTCTCTGATGAACAGTCTATGTAATAATGACACTGATTCTAAATTACCTCTAGCAAACTGTATCTTTGGCATTTTGTACTGCAATTCATATCTCTTGTTGTTGGGGAAACACAAAGCCTAACCTAACACAGGGTGTTTCTAAATTGCATCTCTCTTTTTGGAACGCCAGAGAAGAATGTGCGGGATTGTCACAGGCCTTCGGGTCACTCCATGCTTCAATTACAGAACAAAATGAAAGACGATTTGGCTGGCAGAACACTGCGTGATTGCATTTCAGAAATGTGGATTCTTCAACCAATATTAAAGTTCAGTAGCTGTAAACCTAGACTTTCATCCATGCTCCAGCTCGGTCCACATGTACAGGCACCAGGTCTTTGAAAGTGCATTTATATTAAAACTGCTGCAGCTGTGCTTATTTACATCATTAGTAAATAAACCGCTAAATTGAAAAATTGCAATGACACAATGTTTTGTGCACCTGATGGTAATTTGTGACAAGGATAGTAAACATCTTCTTTGTTGTCTTATCGTAATGAACAGCAAGGCTTGTTGAGATTCCACTGGCCACTTGATTCAGAGTCTTGGGTCTCAAATGAAATGTTGTTCTACAGTATATTCAAAAGAGTCAAGATATATGCCTGACTATAAAACGATAGCTATCTGTTGGACACAGTTATCATTACATCCATACGCAGAGATTTTATTTAGCTGTCCCCACTGTATCCTTTGGACCCTTGTTCTTTGTGTAAGGCAATCCTGTCGATGACGAGGGAGTTACAGCACTCTTTGTTATCACAAAATATGTCAGTTTGGACCATACTGAGGAAATAGTACCGTATACCCTCTGATTCAGCCTTGGGAATGCAGCAGAATTATGATAAACCTAAGAAAAACCTTTGCAAAGCACTATTCATATCTATCCTCTCAATATTTGATCACACAGTGACGAGCAGAGGAGGAGCAGGGAGTCAGTGTATTATGGAGTTGATATAACATTTTGAAATGGCCCCAGACCCCTAGCCAGGATCTGTTTTTACTGTATAGGCCACACTGACAAATCTTCTGACCAAACAAGGGTTACCACTTATATTGTTGATGTTATGTTACCAGGCAGCCTCTATCAGTCGTGCAGTTCTCAGTTGTATGTTTTTCTATGCATTTCTCTCTCAAGCAGGCCAAGGATTCTGTCGAGAGAGAGGAAAATGCTTTGGTGACAAGCCCTGAGCTAGACTTTATGGCTCAGAGACAGTGTGCTTAGAGAATGAGTGCATTTTTTTGTTGTTTAGGAACTTCTGTACTGAAGCCCAGTCCAGCCCATGTCTAAGGTGGATGAGAGTTAGCCTGTCAATGGTAAATAGTACAAGACTTTATTTAAAATTGTCTGGGGTTTTGTAGACACCCATCTAGCAACTGACTGTCTACCTCACTGCTTCTCACAGTCCTTTCTCCCTGCTGGCTGGACCCCAAGGTACAACATAGTCTTTCTGGTTAACAAGAGTTCTCTTTGAAATGAAACTGTTGTTGTGGTTGTTGAAAATGATTTCAGCTACAAATATAGTTTTGCCTCCAAGGGAATGTTATTTTCAGAGCTGGATGAACAAGCAAAAAGAACTGACTTCTCTAGACCTGGATTAGAAAAACACCATCTGTAGTTCCATTCAGAGTAACTTGAAACATTTACTTAAAATAATGTAGTGGACTTGACTTCAACTGAATCTGTATGCTTTATTTAATGAATACAAATGCAGCCACCATAGAGCCATTTAAATTAACTACTTTACTTTACTAAATTTTTAAAGCAAAGTATTAAGTACTTATTTACTGTATCAACTCAGTGTCATTGTGATTTAATAAATGTCGATCAGATACTGTATTATCACAGTGCACAAGGACTAGGTTAAAATTCAACAACCAACTGCTTAAAATTCAGAAATTAGAAATGA